AACACAAGTCACCATGACTGGAATGCAGCGTCTCCAAGGCTCCAGCATGCATTCTGCATGTCTATGGTGGCATCATCTGCCTATAAACTGAATGGGATCAAATTTAGACCTCTATTATCTGCATGAACCTTCTACACACAGCATGGTTTAACCCTTTGCTGTCACTCACAGACAATCATGAGAGATTCAAAACAGATAAAATAAAATGCTTCTTTATTGAGCTCATAGTTAAAACTGAGATTCAATGTTCAGTTTGAACTGCATGATACGGTCAGTGTAGACCAGTGGTTCCCAATCTGTGGTCCATGGACCACCGGTGGTCCGCAAGAAGAAATTATGGTCTGCAGCCTCACCATTACTACACCGTTGCCTCTAACCCACATGGAAATGACAGCGACTGGTCTCATGAAACCCTCTTATAATGCCGAGGCAACGGGGATGTTGGGAGCGGGGAGGCTGACTACCCACATCAGCTCTAGATTATTAAATATGGTTTTCTGTAGGCGAGCAGATGGCAACTACTAGATGGGACTAAACACCATTTGGTCCTATCCTCCCAAAACTGTCTTATGCCATCTTCCTCAGGGAACCCCAGAATAAAAATTATTATATTCACAGCTCAAAAAATGTTATTTCTCACTAATCGCAATTACCCATAGCATCCTCTTGTGAAATCCTCAGATTACAGAGAACCCTGGTTTAAAAACCCTATTCTCATGAGCACCACCTGCATCATATTTCACTATTCTTAAGAACACCTGTAATTACCTTTATCATGTTTCACTACTAAAATGATCAAGGGTCTGGAGAACAAGCTTTATGAGGAGCAGCTTAAAGAGCTTGGCATGTTGATCTTGAAGAAGAGAAGGCTGAGAGGAGACATGATAGCCATGTATAAATATGTGAGGGGAAGTCATAGGGTGGAGGAAGCAGGCTTGTTTATTGATGCCCTGGAAACTAGGACGTGGAACAATGGCTTCAAACTACAAGAAAGGAGATTCCATCTGAACATGAGGAAGAACTTCCTGACTCTGAGAGCTGTTTAGCAGTGGAACTCTCTGCCCGGAGTGTGGTGGAGGCTCCTTCTTTGGAGGCTTGTAAACAAAGGCTGGATGGCCATCTATCGGGGGTGCTTTGAATGCAATTTTCCTGTTTCTTGGCAGGGGGTTGGACTGGATTGCCCATGAGGTCTCTTCCAACTCTATGATTCCATGATTCTATGATTCAGCAGAAATATGATATGTAAATTTAGTAAATAAATATAGGAGTGAACTTCTAAGAGGCAGGATGAAATACAAATATAACGAATAATCCCTAAGAGCAAATCCATTATTGACACTGTGATGCAATTAGTTTATGCAACATTTCATTGAATCTTTAGTTACAGAATGAAAGTTCTGAAAGCATACTGTTATCTGCGGGCTTAATGGTGCATTTACTGATAACCACCAAATTACCACAGGGTTTCAAACCAATGCAAAATGAAGCTGAAGGGAAATTGTCTGTTCAAGAATAAACCTGCCTTTTGTCAACCTCTGCCTAGTTATCCCCTTCAGTTCCCTCATTAAGCATCCATCTGAATAATGCATAGATGCTGCTACAGATAGTGTCATAACTCCTCAATTGTTCAAGCTAATTTAACACTCTCTGAATCATGATATGCCATCAAGCCCACAAATATTCCCCAAGCTCTTACATATTTCTAGGCACAAGGCGCTCACAATGCCAGATATTCAAAAGACCTTTAATACACTCACCTTTAAAATAATTATACAGTTTTTAAAAACAATCCCTGAAGTAGCTACAAAGCAAACACTGGGGCTTGCATTGATGCTTATCAGAAAATGAGAACACGCAACAAAAGGGGTAAATGCATCCCTCATTTATTTTCAGTTCACTTCTCCAGGGAGAATGGCCGTGAAGTTCAGAATGATAGCTGCTGTGAAAAGTGTGTGTGGATGTGTGCCTGGGTAAAAGCATTTGACCTCTCTTTGGAACAATTCATTGCTTCTGTGGATGAAGCTTCTAAGAATATGCTACAAGAGAAATTTCATCAGCAAGAGGCCTATTGTGTGTCAAAACAGCATGGAGCGCAGGCCATTTTATTCCAACTGCTCCGGGTTAACAATTAGCATTTGAATCTATTTAGTAACCTTATCAGAAAGAACCGTGAGTGCAGGAATGGCTTATATAGTAGAAGTTGGAAAAATTGTATGCTGTTAAGGAAGGGCATATATCCCCCTTCAAAAATTAAGCCAAAAGAGAAAGAGAGAGGCCTTTTCCCACATAAAGAAGTAGAGGCAGGTTGGCTTGGAGAACCATTACACACAACTTTCCTGGCTCAAATGTTGAAAGAGTTGGGACAAAGCTAGCAAAATGAATTTCAGCAGGGAAAAATATAAGGAGGAATAAAATGCACTCATATAGGATGAGTGACACTAAGGTTGAAAACCATCTATGTGAAAGGGACCTAGGAGTCTTGGTAGACCACAAGCTGAACATGAGTCAACAGTGTGATGTGGCAGTTAGAAAAACCAATGTATTTCTGGACTGCATCAAACTTCACATGGAATACCGAGTCCAGTTCTAGGCCCCACAATTCAAGAAAGATATTTACAAGCTGGAATGTGTCCAGAGAAGGGAGACCAAAATGGCAAAAGGTCTGGAAACCAAGCCGAATGAGGAATGGCTGAGGATATTTAGAGTATTAATTGATACGAAATGTAAAAGAAACCACTCACTTACTTAGATTGCTTCATTAAAGGGATCAAGAAAACAAGTACACAAGAACAGTCAAGCTGGATCACACACTGGGCTACCCAGTCCCACATTCTTTTCACAAAGTGGCCAATCAGTTATCCACAGAGAACCCAGTGGCAAACCATGAGTTCATCTACCTGTTCCATGTCACACTTCCCTAAAGGCGTATTAATTCTTTGGCAACAGATACACAAAGGCTTTTAGCTGTGATTATATGTTAAATTGTGGTCTGAGAGAGAAAGATTAATTCCAGGGGTGTAAATGCAAGTGGGGAAAATGAGGACATTGACCCTATAAGAATTCAGGACCCCATAAAGTTCTCCTTCAATCCCCAAATTTTATGCATTGCAATAACTTCAGAAATACAGGTATCCCAAAAAAGGAAAGTACACAACAAATCTAAGAGGTCTTGTTGTTTATTCGTTCAGTCGTTTCCGACTCTTTGTAACCTCATGAACCAGCCCATGCCAGAGCTCATTGTCGGCAGTTGCCACCTCCAGCTTCTTCACAATCAAGCTAGTCACTTCAAGGATAACATCCATCCATCTTGTCCTTAGTCGACCTCTCTTCCTTTTGGGTTGTAGGTTTTTCAGGCTGTATGGCCATATTCTAGAAGCATTCTCTCCTGACGTTTTGCCTGCATCTGTGGCAAGCATCCCTCCATTTTCTCCAGTATCATTATGTTCTCCAAGGTATCCTGTCTTCTCATTATGTGGCCAAAGAACTTCATCCTTGCCCTCAACAGCCTTCCCTCCAGTGAGCAGTCGGTCTCCATCTCCTGGAATACAGACTGGTTTGATCTTCTTGCGGTCCAAGGCATTCTCAAAATATTCCTCCAACACCACAGTTCAAAAGCATCTATCTTCCTTCGCTCAACCTTCCCTATGGTCCAGCTCTTGCATCCATATGTTACTACTGGGAATACCACTGCTTTAACTATGAAGATCTTTGTTGACAGTGTGCTGTCTCTACTCAACTATTTTATTGAGATTGGTCATTGATCTCCTCCCAAGAAGTAAATGTCTTCTGATTTCCTGGCTGCAGTCTGTGTCTGCACTTATCTTTGTGCCTAGAAATACAAAGTCTATCACTGCCTCCACATTTTCTCCCTCTCTTTGCCAGTTATCAATCAATCTGGTTGCCATCATCTTGGTTTTTAAAAAATATATATTTAACTGCCACCCAGCTTTTGCACTTTCCTCTTTCCTAAGAGGTCTAGATATGCACATTTCAGTGTCACGTTCACTGTGTTACTAGAAATTTGAAAAGTGGAGGAAAATTTCATTTTAGAGACAGAATTTTTATTGGGAGGGAAATGCCCTCCCCATCCACACTCTTGTTCACAATACTTCTCATTAAATTGAGAAAAAGGGAAGGAAGAAAAAAAAAGATGAAGCAAACAAGTTGAAGTTTGGCCCTAACACAGAGGTTCTCAACCTGTGGGTCCCCAAGTGTTTTGGCCTACAACTCCCAGAAATCCCAGCCAGTTTACCAGATGTTAGGATTTCTGTGAGTTGAACGCCAAAACATCTGGGGACCCACATGCTGAGAACCACTGCCCTAATATTTCAAGTCTGGGGTTTATCGGTGTGGGAATAACAGGGTCACAAAGGCATGCAGAAGTACAATAGTGGGGACATGAATTGTTGAGTTGGTGCAATTACACAATTGAAGAGGTACAAGATATTGATGGTGCTCAATTCAGTATGTATCAATGATAGTCTGATGTTAGTCTGATTGCAGTGGAATAGTGGATTAATGTGCTAAAACCCTATGACTCTGCAGACCAGGGTTGGAAGTCTTAGGGCCCTACATCCCAGGATCTGATCTCAGAATTTCTGTTTTTCCCAGATTATCTGGCAGTGCGAACTCATATCATCCAGTTGAAAGCAGAAAATCTGGGATCAGATCTTGGGATATAGGGCCTGTCTGGAAGGATCCCTACTCAGCTATGGAAGAATACTAACAAGTCACACTTTCTCAATCTCAGAGGATCACAGCTGCTGGTGCCCCTCTATGAACAAGTTCAGCAAAGAAAACCCCATGATAGGGTCTCCTTAGAGTTACCATAATCCGGGAAAAAAAAACCCTGAAGGAATTCAACAGTCCCTAAAAGTACTTTTCCAAGCTCTGGAAAAAATGGTATGGTATGACTCTATATTATATATATGTATGGAAGAATGAGGACAGAAAAACAGATTGTCTAAAGAATAAGTTTCAAACATGTCCATAAGACTTACATGATTTTTCTTCTTTAATCTTGTACTCCAGGACCTCTGAAGTCTCTTTCTGAGTTGTGCAATGAACTGAGAGGAACAGATTTTCCATTTTCTCATCTTTCCTAACCATGAATATCTAAAAAAAGACAAAAACAATACAATGTTGTGACAACAGAAGAGGGTCATGGGTCTGCCTGTCCAATAAACTTACCAAAATAAGTGATTTTTTTATAGTTCTGGTAAATCAAAAGTACAACTGCAACAAGATCATGTTCTCCCTACAAATACTGATAAGTAGTTTTTGGTGGTGATATTTCTGTTCAATAAATGGAAAGCAAAAAGGCAAGGGTGACTAATGGGAGTTGGGTTAAATTCCTATCAAACAGCAACATTTATAGCAGTTTGGGTCCTTTATCCATATAATTATACTATGTATCAAGATAATATGATATACAGTGTTCCCTCACTTACCGTGAGTGTTACATTCCAGGACCACCCGCAAAAAGTAGGGAATGTATGTATGTATGTATGTATGTATGTATGTATGTATATTCTGAGGGTAAAGCAGAAGCGAGGAGAGATTTAAAGGCACTGCACACTTGTTTTTGGCTAGCTATAAGGAAGGGGCTATAAGGCCGTGATTTACATACTACTTTGTATCTCCTCTTTCTCTCTTTATGATTGGCTGCCTCTCTCCTGAGGGGGAGGGTGAAACCCCCTTTCATACTCCATCGTTGCCAAAACCCCGCAAAACAGCAAGTCCACGAAAAGCAAACCATGAAGTAGCGAGGGAACACTGTAATGTGATAAACGATAGCTAGATGAAAGGTAGCTAACTAGCTAAAGAAGCATGAGAGGAGGCAATAGAGTCTTGGTTGTTGTGAGTTTTCAGGCTGTTTGGCCATGCTCCAGAAGCCTCACAACCTCTGAGAATGCCTGACATAGATGCAGATGAAACTTCAGGAGAGAATGCTTCTGGAACATGGCCATAATAATAATAATAATAATAATCATCATCATCTTCATCATCATCATCATCTTTATTTATACCCCACCACCATCTCCCTCAACGGGAACACAGGGCAGCTTACATGAGGCCAAACCCAAACAACAAATTATAATAAAATAAAATACAAGTTACAACAAAATAACAACATCGCAGTAAAGTACAAAACATAAGAGTACAATAAACAATATACAAAAAAACAAATACAGTAAACCAAACATAATAACAGTGAGTGGGCTGCATGTACATAAAATAATTTTAAAACTATGGGTGAGATAAAGGAGCAGAATTATTTATGAGTGAGAGAGTGAGAACCCGTGGAGAGACAGGGTGATAGACTGACCTTCGTACAAGGGGGGGGGGGGTGCATACACCCTGGAAAACTCACAACAACCCAGTGATTCCAGCCATGAAAGCCTTTGACAATAAAATAGAGTCTTGTTTTTCACTGTAGCCTCAGAAAAAAGCAAATTGCTTCAGCTTTTCCTAGCTTGCCTCGCCCTCGTCATTAAAACCTTTTGCTGTCTTAACTATATTCTGACCATTGCTATCCTGACCACATGCGCTCTACAACTTTCGTCTGCAAAATGTTTGAAGGTATTGCCGTGGTAAGTGCAGGCAAAATTAAATTAGTGAGTGGGAAGGGGGTGATGAAACCCTTCATGATCTGCTAATTCTAGAAAGACACTTATCCTCCTTGAAGATATTTTAACCACTAAACTCCCAGACTCTGTAATGGGAAAAAAGAAAAGATCTTGGAAAAACGTTTGCAGCACAGAAATAGCAGAAACAAGGAAGCTGAAACACCCCTTCATCCCACCAACTTATCCTTCCTGTAAGTAGCCCCCTCCAAGGCTGATGTTGTTGTTCATTCGTTCAGTCGTCTCCGACTCTTCGTGACGTCATGGACCAGCCCACGCCAGAGCTCCCTGTCGGCCGTTACCACCCCCAGCTCCCTCAAGGTCAGTCCAGTCACTTCAAGGATGCCATCCATCCATCTTGCCCTTGGTCGGCCCTCTTCCTTTTGCCTTCCACTTTCCCCAGCATAATTGTCTTCTCTAGGCTTTCCTGTCTCCTCATGATGTGGCCAAAGTACTTCAGCTTTGTCTCTAGTATCTTTCCCTCCAGTGAGCAGTCGGGCTTTATTTCCTGGAGGATGGACTGGTTGATAGAAATAGGTAATTTTTGCTTTCAGTGTGCTGAAAATTAGGGTTGGGTTCTGTAGGAATGACCAATATCATTAGCCTTACACAGTAAATTACAGTATATTCTGGCGTATAAGACTACTTTTTAACCCAAGAAAATCTTCTCAAAAGTCAGGGGTCGTCTTATACGCGGGTGTAGTCTTATGCATGGGAGTCGTCTTAACTCTATATTTTAACTGGAAAAGTTGGGGGTCGTCTTATACACCCAGTCGTCTTATATGCCGGAATATACGGTAAGTCCTTAGAGCCCAGGTTGTTATTTTGGGCAAAAAAAAAGAGTAAGAAATCTATATGAGTACTTTTGAAAAGAGGTCATTTACAGGCTGTTAGACATTACGAAAAAAGAGAAGAGGTGAGTTTCTGCAAAATTAACACAGATAATGATGCAATGAATCTGTAAAAGTAACAAAAGTGTCTGGCTGACATAACTCTGTGAGAGATCTGTGGGAAGAACACATGGGTGTTTTCACACAAGATCATTATGATTCAGCTGAAAGTGAAAGCTCCCAGTGGCGCAATGGGTTAAACCCTTGTGTCGGCAGGACTGCTGACCAACAGGTCTGCGGTTCAAATCCAGGGAATGGGGTGAGCTTCCCTCTCAGCTCTAGCTTCCCATTGGGGACATGAGGGAAGCCTTCCACAGAATGATAAAACATTATTTAAAAAACATCCGGGTATCCCCTGGGCAACGTCCTTGCAGATGGCCAATTCTATTAGACCAGAAGTGACTTGCAGTCTTTCAAGTCGCTCCTGCCATGAAAAAAAAGAAGCTGAAAGTCCAGATCTCCCAGTAAGATGACACTGCCAGTCCACTTCTTCATCCCACTCATTTCAAGAATCACAACCAGAGAAGATGGTTGTACAGTTATACCTCTGCAGCTATCATTGCCATTATTTAAAGGTCCATGTTCAAGGGGATGTATTTCCAATTTGATATTATATAGATTCTACTTTTTGTTATCCCCTTTTCTCCTAAACTATTCTGAGAATGCTAGATGAGATCCTACCTTGCATTCATAGCTACATAAATGTAACTATGAATGGCATAACAACAACAACAACAACAACAATAATCCAACACAACAACCAGCATAGTGATCTTGTTTGCTGTGTACTAATCTTGTTGTGTTTCAAATAATAACAATAACACTTTATTTATATTCCGCCCTTCTTCCCGAGAGGACTCAGAGCAGATTACAGCATATAAACAGACACAAGCAAATATTCTATGCTTTGTTACAAGAAGCAGTTATTAAGAACTGGGTTGCTGTGAGTTTTCCAGGCGGTATGGCCATGTTCCAGAAACATTATCTCCTGACGTTTCGCCTACATCTATGGCAGGCATCCTCAGAGGTTGTGAGGTCTGTTGGAAACTAGGCAAGTGAGGTTTATATATCTGTGGAATGGCCAGGATAAGAGAAAGAATTCTTCTATGTTTGAGTCAAGTGTGAGTGTTGCAAGTGGCCACCTTGATTAGCATTGAATAACCTTGCAGCTTCAAACCCTGGCTGATTGCTGCCTGGGGATCCTTTGTTGGGAGGTGTTAGCCTGCTCTGATTGTTTCCTGTCTGGAATTCTTCTGTTTTTTGAGTGTTGCTACTTATTTACCATTCTGGTTTTAGAGTTTTTTTAAATACTGGTAGCCAGATTTTGTTCATTTTCATGGTTTCCTCCTTTCTGTGGAAATTGTCCACATGCTTGTGGATTTTAATGGCTTCTCTGTGTAATCCCACGCTGGACATTCCACACATATATGGAAAGTGTCCAGAGGAGCGTCATTAAAATGATCAAGAGTCTGAAGAACAAGCTGTATGAGGAGTGGCTTAAAGAGCTGGGCATGTTTATCCTGAAGAAGAGAAGGCTGAGAGGAGACATTATAGCCATATATAAATATGTAAGAGGAAGTCATAGGGAAGAGGGAGCAAGCTTGTTTTCTGCTGCCCTGGAGACTAAGATGCAGAACACTGGCCTCAAACTACAAGAAAGCAGATTCCATCTGAACATTTCTGACTGTGAGAGCCGTTCAACAGTGGAACTCTCTGTCCTGGAGTTTGGTGGAGGCTCCTTCTTTGGAATCTTTCAAACAGAGGCTGGATGGCCGTCTGTCAGGGGTGCTTTGAATGCAATATTCCTGTTTCTTGGGAAGGGGTTGGACTGGATGGTCCATGAGGTCTCTTCCAACTCTATGATTCTATGATTCTATATAAACCTCACTTGCTTAGTTTCCAACAGACTTCACAATCTCTGAGAATGCCTGCCATAGATGTGGGTGAAATGTCAGAAGAGAATGATTCTGGAACATGGCCATACAGCTCGGAAAGTTCACAGCAACCTAGTGATTCCGGCCATGAAAGCTTTTGACAACACAGCTTTTAAGAAGTTTGTGTTCCATCTAAATATCTAAGAAAGGTACTATTCTCAGTTAACCTAGCCATCTAATTCTCTATAAGCAAACTGTCCACATTCATACATTACATTATGCACACAGTTCTGTATTTATGAAGAAACCACATCCCAAAATACAGGAGTTTCGGCATCTCATTAAGTATAAAAGGCAAAGTTTTCCAACCCCTGAGTTGGAGCGTCCCTTATAATAAGAGACACCTGTCAGCCATACACAGGACAAGCTTTCTCATTCCCAAATAAAGGACAGCCTTTATAATAAAAAACGCTTGGCCACCTTAAAACTATTCACTCTCCCACAAATTGTCTCATGAAAGCATAAGGAAGTGACAGCAATTGGATGAAGAGAAAATCACACACCCAAGAGAAAATTCAAATATAACTCAATTGAAGTATTTTTCTCAGATTTGGTGAGAGAAGGGCGAAAAGAAAACAACAGCTCTAAAATTGGTTCCCCAAGGAGCAGGAAACAGTAGGATTTGGAGGATTGGAGACATACCCCTGCTGGTTCCTTGCAAAGTATCTCAGCAGCCTTTTCTTTACTGAGGCTCGGCTGAAGCCATGCTGGGCAAGTTTTGATGAGCTTTTCAAGGACGCCGATGCCTGGTGGAGGGAAGCAGCTTTTTGAAGCAATAGATTGGCTTGGCAGGGACTTCTTTTCCTGTTCGTCACCACTTTCTGTGACAAGTCTGAAAAACAAACAAACAGAAAAATAAATGCCAATGAGGCAACCATGGCAGTTTGTGCTGAGGAGGGGCGTATTAGATTGAAATATATGGAAAACAAGATGGGTGCAGTTTTTAGCTGGCATCAATACCAGGCTTCTCTAGCATCTGTCCCAAAAGTTGCTGAATAGGTTCTCTGGTACTCTCAGACTAGGCAAAAATTCTGGAGTCTGCTACAGAAAACCATATGGATAAAGGACATCAAGACTCTGAGGCTGATCTATTTTGGGGTGAGTGAAGTAATAGACAACACGTCCTCTTTGATATTTCATAGATAAAAACCTAGAACAATACAAGAGAGTGATCAAGATAACAAAAAAGGTATTGGTTAGACCACACCTGGAATACTGTGTCCAATTCTGGGCACCACAATTGAAGAGAGATATTGACAAGCTGGAATGTGTTCAGAGGTGGTTGACTAAAATGATCAAGGGTCTGGAGAACAAGCCCTATGAGGAGTGGCTTAAAGAGCTGGGTATGTTTAGCCTGAAGAAGAGAAGGCTGAGAAGAGACATGATAACCATATATACCGCAATGAGTCGCCCTGAACACCGCAATGAGTCGCCCTGAACACTGCAATGAGTCGCCCTGAAGGGCTGAGAATTGCGGTATATAAGCGCAGTAAATAAATAAATAAATAAATAAATAAATAAATAAATAAATATAAATATGTGAGATAAAGTCATAAGAAGGAGAGAGCAAGCTTATTTTTTGCTGTCCTGGAGACTAGGACATGGAACAATGGCTTCAAACTACAGGAGATTCCACCTGAACATTAGGAAGAACTTTCTGACTGTGAGAGCTGTTCAGCAGTGGAACTCTCTACCCTGAAGTGTGGTGGAGGCTCCTTCTATGGAGGCTTTGAAACAGAGGCTGGATGGCCCTCTGTTGGGAGTGCATTGAACACAATTGTCCTGCTTCTTGGCAGGGGGTTGGACTGGATGGCCCACGAGGTCTCTTCCAACTCTATGATTGTATGATTCTAAGAACATACAAGTTAGGAGAAGCTGTAACAGTTTCCTATTGCCTGAATCTACTGGGAAAAGCAATATTCCATCTCCACCTCATTCCTGCCACTGAATTAATGACATGCCAAGAACACTTTGCATTCATTTTAAACCTATGAAACTTAGCACAGGACAAAGGAGGAAAGCAGGAGCAGGAAAGGGAAAATGGGGCATTCCAAAAGGAGCAGAAAACAATAGGATGACAGAGGATTTATAATAATAATATTATAATAATAAAATTTTATTTATATTCCACTCTATCTCCCCAAAGGGACTCAGGACGGATTCCAAGCATAAAAGGCAAACATTCAATGCCCAAATATAACAGCTATACATCCATACTAACCAAATTTAAACAGCCCAACATATAAACACGAATTATAACTTAACAACTTAAATTAAATTAAAAGCACATATAACAGATATAAAACAAAACATCAAACATTGAATGGAAACAATTTCCCATTTTCTTGGGGCAGATTGATTGATCATTCTTCAAGATATCTATTGAGCTGGTGGGGTGAACAGGGCACGGATACAGATGGCAACTGTTAATCAAAGGTATATGACTGTCCCTGGCAAACCAGGCAATTGTCTTCACCTCGGAAGAGACACGCAATGCCAAGATCCAAATTGTAAAAACCATGATCCTTTTTACTCTCTTTACATCACTGTTTAAGTATGTCCAATGGGGGATTTGCTCACACATAAGTATGTGTCTGCAAAGGGTAGGCATGACATTGCATAGCATGAAGAGAACAGACACAAGAGATTTTTCAACTCCCTTTCTCATAGTACATTCAGGCTTCCATATTTGTGAGTTTAACTTAAATTGATCTGATTATTCACAAATTTGATTAATATGTTATCTCTAGATCATCCAGTGTGACCTCACAACCTCTGAGGATGCCTGCCATAGATGCAGGCGAAACATCAAGAGAGAATGCTTCTAGAACATGGCCATATAGCCCGAAAAACCTACAACAACCCATCCAGTGTGACTCTTTGATCCATTTCCAGTTGACATTGACCATATATTCAGCCTGGAGGATGTAGGTTTAACCCAGCCCACCTAGTGGATCGAAAACAGCAATGTAAGCAGATGAATAAGAACCGCATTAAGCAGGGAGGTATTTTAGGCACAGCATTTTGGAGGAAAGTTTATGAACAAAGAAAGCTCTTCGGCAAGGAGATGGAACGACAGAACCCCCTGTGGCCAGAAGCAAGCACAGCCTCCAAAAGATGCCGAATGATGAGAAAAAGCCTCTATCTGGTGGCTGTCTTGTCATTATATAATTGGATTGAATGTTTGCCGTATATGTGTTCTGTGATCTGCCTTGAGTTCCCTTCAGGGTGAGAAGGGTGGAATATAAGTACAATAAATAAATAAATATTAATGACATCCACAAATAATCAAATCCATAAAAAAGTTTGTGATTTTTTTGTTGTGTGTCTTTAAGTCTTTCCCAAGCTGTGATTACACAAAGGCAAACCTATCCTAGGTTTTTCTTAGTAAGATTTGTGTAGAAGTTTGCTATTGCCTTCTTCAGAGGCTGAGAGAGTGTGACTTGCCCAAGGTCATGGGTTTCATGGTTCAGTGGGCATTCTAACCCTGATCTCCTGACATATTGCCCAATTTTCAAACCACTACACCATGTTGTCTTAGCTTAAGTATACAGTTGATTGTTTATTGGTCTTGTTTGTTTATGCAACTCATAATGATTTTATGTAACCATAATATGCTATTTCAAAATATTGACAAATGAGAACCCTCCCAAACACTTCATCATACTAGAGAATGAATTCACATTAAATCTGGTTGCTGCCTCCTGCAGAATTCTGAGGTTTGTAGTTGAGGGAGTAACCTTTAACAGCCTCACTAAACTACAATGCCCAGAATTGTGCAGGAAGCAGAAACCGGATTTAAAGGTTGAAAGGAAAACATGAGCACTATATACAGCCGATTTCTCTTTTCCTCCTCATAAGAACAACCTCTATTGAAAAGGAAGATTGATGCCATATAGTTCATTTCGTAAACAATGTGATGAATTGTCCCATAAAGTGGGAAATAATGTGAATTAGATGCTTTGCTTACAACTTCTTTCTCTTTATGTGTGAGCAGACTTTGTTCTTTAAACCATGTTCTTTGGAATTTCACAAGAAAGCCAAACCAAGCTCTAAATTCTCACTAAAAAGTTTTTTTAAATGTTACCAAGGACTAACATAATGCTTTCAATACCAAAGAATATATATTAGTGATAGGGCCAGGCTTTAGCACAGCAGGTTAACCATCAGCTGCAGTAAATCTTGCCAATCAAAAGTTGACAGTTTGAAGCCTGGGTCGGGGTGAGCTCCTGGCCTTTAGCCCAGCTTCTGCCTACTTAGCAGTTCGAAAGCAAAATGTGATAAAGCGGGAAGGTATTTAAGGAACCCATAAGATAATGCCAGAAAATGCCGGTGATTTGATCAAGGAGGAAGTTTACGAACAAAACTCTTCAGCAGGGGAGATGAAGCGACAGCATCCCCTCTCATGGCCAAACTGAGCACAAGCCTCCAAAATACAGAGGATGGGGAAAGCCTATATATACCTCTGTCTATAACCAGTTGTCTGTCTTGTCTGCCTTGTCAGTGTATGAATGGCATTGAATGTTTGGGTGAGAAGGGCGGAATATAAATACTGTAAATAAATATCTATCCTGCGCAAAATTGTATTGCCCTATAGCAAGGAGATGGAGTGACTGCACAAGCCTCCAAAACGCAGAGGATGGGGAAAGCCTATATATACCTCTATCTATGTACAGTTGTCTGTCTTGTCTGTCTCACCGGTGTATAAACAGCATTCAGTGTTGGGAGAAAAGGGCGGAATATAAATACTATAAATAAATATCGATCCTGTGCAAAATTGCATTGACTTGTGGCAAGGATCTTGATAACTTTTTTGATATTAGTTGTGATTTTATTATTTTGATATTTTTGTTAGATTGCCTTGTAAGACCTATAGCCTGAAGAGTAGGATAAAAATTATATACAATTTTAACAGAGTTTTGGAAAATTACACATTGACCACTATGTCCAGAACTCAGAATGCTGGCTGGGAGATTCTCAGAACTGTAGTCCAAAAAGTCACTTTCTAAAGTTCTCATAGGAAACTGACTTTCGATGGCTAATACTTTGTCAATATAGACCAGATGTGATGTACTGAATCTATTTTAAAGGGTCTACAATCAATTGAGTTTCTCCTCCAGTGTCTGCATGATTTTTATCTGTTGTATGTTGGCAAAAACGTGTTTCCATTTACAGTTCTTAATATAAAGCGGGAATAGGCAAAATACATCCTGCATGCACATGTAGCCCCCAGTTTCTGGCTTCAAGGTTGCATCTGCTTTGTAGAATCAGTGCAGTTTAACACATTAACTGTTATGGCTCAATGCTATGGAATCATGGGAGTCGCAGTTTGGTGAGCTACCAGCATTCTTTGGTAAAGAAGGCTAAAGATCTTGCAAAACTATGACTCCTGTGATTCTGCAGCATTGAGCCATGGTAGTTAAAGTAGGCATGCCGTATTAATGCTACAGCATAGATGCACTCCCAAATACCCCAACATGCTTCATAGGTTTTAAAGGGCATTTCCACGTGTTTGGAGCCCCCTTGGAACACCAGAACTCAAAATGAAAATGTCAAAAAAAGCCTTTTTTGCTTCAAAATGTTCCAAAATGCCTCCTGGGGCACAAAAAAATCCAAAATATGCCCCATGTCGCATAGAGGGTGTTTCAGGCTTCTTTTTTTCTTTTTCTTTTTCTTGGAAAAGTAGGTTTGGTCTACCAAGATTCCTGGAAGACAGTTGCCCGCTTCCACAAAATAAGGAAGGTAATTTATCATCCTACTTGTCTCTGGCCCCTTCTACATATAAAATCCAGATTATCTGCTTTGAACAGGATTATATGGCAGAGTAGACCC